TTTACCTTTTATATATTTTTAATATTTAAATTTGCTTCTCTTTAAAATTATTATATATAAATTAAAAAAATTAATTTTATAATTTATATTATTTTTTAATTTACATGATATTTGTAGGGTGTTTCAAATAATTATCGTCACTGTATCGGAACTGCCGCTCATAGGCTATATCACCACCGTTCAATAAATTTGTCCTACAACATATCGTTTTTAAAAAAAAAATTAATCAAAATAAAAATACGAATAATGAAGTGGGTAAAATAGAAAAAGAACAAAATAAAACACAAAAGTAATAAAGTAAACAAAGTTTATATTTTCAAAATTAGTATAATTACTAACAGATAGTTTTTTACGTTCCTTGGTCGTAACATCAGAATTGGGAGCAATAAAAATGAATTTATCATCATATATCCACAGTAGAACGAAATCTTGAAATAATAACGAAAGGTCCTGCTCATTTCGTATAAGAATGGTAAAATAAGGATGAAACCGACAAGGATCACCTCGAAACATGATGGTACCATTTTTTATAGCGAAAAAGGGCGGACACTAATATGTCTCTATATTTTATCACAAAATTAATATTACGGATACACCTCTCCACAATCTTATTTGATATGACTTTAAATAATATAAAATATTATAAAGGACATGTAAAGACTTTTATTCATTGGTTATTTTATTCAACCATTTGTGATATTCGTTCACGTAATTTTAACTGATCTGTACATTGTTCTGAATACTATACTTTATTCTCACTACTTTGCATTGATCTCACTTCTAAATTCACTTTTCACCTCTCAATTATTTATTTTAAAGAATTTTAAATTTTCACGATTCGGTTTTATATAATTATAGTTTGAAGCTTCCGGTTATAAACCATATGATGTGATATTAACCCCTAGTGAAGATATCAGCAACGAAACATTGGAATAAAATTCCTATATCAATAACTTTTTACCTCATTACGTTAACAAAATATTAAAATAAAATTTTTATTATAATATACATATAAAAGTTACATATAACAATTTTATTTATTATAAATTAAAAAAAATTTATATATCTATTATATATTATTATCTATAATATATATATTAGTGTTATATCTTATTATCTTACTGATTAAAAATATCTCGTTTTTAGTTTTATTTTAAATATTTTAAATATAT